CAAATTTATTAGGATTTCATTTATATTTTGTTGCTTAATATAAACTTGAAATAATAGGCAAATAAAAGAATAACCATTTCCTATCTCTTAGGCTACTTTATTAGAATGTTATGTGACTCAAACTTAAGATTTTTTATTAATAGAAGGAGATTAGCATTGAATTATTAAGTTCATTGGCTCTTGTAAATATTTTCAAGGGCTTACTTGCTCTCACAAAACCCATAATAAACTCAATTGCTCTATGCAAAGAAGCTTGAGGCTTTATTTCTTTTTCCCCTTAACAACTACTTCGCGGGAAGCACTTTTCCCAAGTTCAAACCCAAAAATAAAAAATAAAAAACAATAATATAATAAGTAAATAACGGAATGAGAAACAAGAGGTCCAGTGCTGCTCTTCCTCAACTGTTGCCTCTCCTTCCTCAAACGCCAGTTTTTCCCGCGAAACGCTCCCTCAACATTTCTCCCTCTATCTGTAACGACCACGACCATCGCCACCGTTGCACACTCCTCCACGATGCCGTGAACCAACAACCACCACAACATGTCGAGAGAGACTCAAGATTCCCCGCCGCACACGACCGCCACCACGTCCTCGTCCTACGCGCCCAAGCTGCGCAAGATTCCACCGATTCCGATTCGTCGATCTAACATGGAAATCGAATCGGACGAAAGCGCTAGCGATTACGAAGATGATCAGGAATTTGAATCAGAACAGCGCATTGAAGGTTCGTCGATGATTCTCGCGTCTTCTCTGGGATTGAATCATATTAGGACGAGATCCGCTCCAGCGCCATCTCCCCTCAGGTTCTCGTCCTCCGTTAGGACGCCGTCCAATCACGGGAATGGCGATGCTGATATTCCAAACGCCGGGAAATATAAGGAGAAGGCTGGAGCTGGGATTGAAGCCAGGCCGAAGCGGTCCACTCTTATGGAACAAGGTATCTTTCATTTTCTGTTTCTATTTCCAACAAGAGAAATGTTCTTTTTTCCTTTCCTCGGCCTCCTGCTGCTCCGCCGATTCTTTCCGGCGTTTCAATGGAATTTTGGTTGCTTAACTTTCTTTTAATTCCATTCCTTTATTGCTTATAGGGAAAAAGGTTCCTTGGAGTCAATCAAAATCGCTAAGAGCCCCATCACCACTCAACCCGGCATTGGAGGTAACAAATTGAAAGATAGATACAATACAAATCAAATCAGAAAATGCATATTCAGTTCAATGCAAGAATGTTAGATGCTAAAATTTCAATAAATTTTGCTGTTTTTTATAGAGTAATCATGCTGCTTTTGCCAAGGAAATGCAATCTCCACGTTTCCAGGCGATTCTGCGTGTGACCAGTGGCAGGAAGAAGAAAGCGCCAGATATCAAGAGCTTCTCTCATGAGCTCAATTCCAAAGGTGTACGGGCTTTTCCTTTTTGGAAGTCTCGTGCACTTGGACACATGGAGGTAATTTGCACTTCCTTTTGGTCTGCTTTATGTCACTTGGTTGTGTAATATCCTGTTCTGGTTGACATGTATGTGATAATTGATGTTTCAGGAGATTATGGTGGCAATCAGGACTAAGTTTGACAGATTAAAGGAAGAAGTGAACTCTGATCTTGGTATCTTTGCTGGAGATTTGGTCGGTATGCTTGAAAAGACTTTGGATTCTCATCCTGAATGGAAAGAGAGTTTAGAGGATTTGCTGATTGTAGCTAGGTACTGTGCAAAAATGTCAACTGGTGAATTCTGGGTGAAATGTGAAGGCATTGTTCAGAATTTAGATGATAGACGACAAGAACTGCCAATGGGGATTCTTAGACAAGCACATACTCGCCTGCTTTTTATCCTCACCAGGTGCTCACGGCTTGTGCAGTTCCAGAAAGAGAATGGTTATGAAGAACATATTCTGGGCCTTCACCAGCTTAGTGATCTTGGAGTTTATCCAGAACAGATGTTAGAACAACTTGCACAGCAGGATATTAGTGCCCCATTGACTGGTGGTAAGGAAGTCAATGAGAAGCAGAAGAAGAAGTTGCAGGAGCAGGAAAGAAGCAGTCTGAAGTTGAAACATGATCAAATAGATCAACATTTAAACAGTGCCAGTGATGGTGTTGAGGTTGGCACTGCCAAAAGTGTAGATTCAACCACAAGCAGCTATAGGATGTCTTCTTGGAAGAAACTTCCATCTGCTGCTGAAAAGAACCGTAAAGGCAATGATTTTGTTGATACATTGTCAAAGGATAGATCAGACCTCTTGCAAACAAAAGATGAAACAACCAGTTCTGAAAATCTGGAAACTCCATCAGGCCATCATATATCTTCAGGAGCAAGAAAAGTTTCTTGGCCATTTTGGGGTGATAATCAAAATGTAACATATGATAATTCAATGATCTGTCGTATTTGTGAGGTTGAGATACCAATGATACATGTAGAAGAGCACTCTCGAATATGTACCATTGCTGATAGATGTGACTTGAAAGGCTTAACTGTAAATGAACGGCTTGAAAGAGTTGCAGAGACTCTTGAAAGAATCCTAGAATCTTGGTCACCAAAAAGCACAAGCACTGATACTCCAAGGGAAAGTTTTGAGGCTACAAGAGTTTCTGCATCAATTATGCATGAAACTTTGGATTTGTCCCCGAAGCATAACACTTTTCCACTACGATGCTCCGAGGACATGCTTGACTGTGTTCCTGACACTGATAATACTTTTGTCATGGATGATCTGACTGTCCTCCATGATGTATCATGTGAAACACATGGCCATCCAAACACACCTGATATATGCACAAAAACTTCATCAGCAGGAAGCTTGACACCACGGTCTCCTTTATTAACTCCACGAGCTAGCCAGATTGAACTGCTGTTAAGTGGACGAAGAAGAATAACAGAGCTTGAAAATCACCGGCAGGTCATATCATACTAACTTTCTTTCTGCATATTTAACCTTGTTTTGGTTTGAACTTTTCTTTTTGAATGAAAAGATATGATGCTTTCCCATATTAATTTGTTTCCTCCATGCTCACTTCCTATTTGTTGCTTTCATGAGAGCAGTGGTCCAACTCTCACTTAACTAGTTAATATCCCTATTAAGAAATTTCATATCCTGATTTCTTTGGAAGCTCATGCACTGTATTTTTACTTTAATTTTGGAACCTTTTTCATTTTTTTCTAATTTTAACAAACTAACAGATACACAAGTTGGTAGACATTGCTCGCTCAGTTGCAAATGTAAATGATTGTGACTATGGTACATTGGAGTATATGCTTGACTGCCTCGACGACCTGAAATATGCCATCCAAGATAGAAAAGCAGATGGCCTCGTTGTGGAAACTTTTGGAAGACGTATAGAGAAGCTATTGCAGTAAGCGAACTTCTGATTTCATACTTTATAATTGTGTTCTCCATCACCATTTTTTTTTAATCTTAATTGTTGGTAAAGTGATTGGTTTTTACTGTATATTCAACCATACATCTCTGATGTCATATATACGTCTTTCTGAAATTTACAGAGAAAAATATGTACACCTCTGTGGACAGATAGAGGATGAAAAAGTTGATTCATCTAATGGTATGGCTGATGAAGAGAGTTCAATTGAAGATGACACAGTACGTAGTCTACGTGCAAGCCCCATCAATCCATGTTCCAAGGATAGAACATCTATAGAAGATTTTGAAATAATAAAACCAATCAGCCGAGGAGCATTTGGACGAGTTTTTCTTGCTAGGAAAAGAGCAACTGGTGACTTATTTGCTATAAAGGTCAGAATATATACAACAAAAAAATATCTGATCCATAAATTACAAGTTAAATTTTAAGCAAGGTTTCCACATCTACAGGTTCTGAAGAAGGCTGATATGATTCGTAAAAATGCAGTTGAAAGTATTTTGGCTGAGCGCAACATCCTGATATCAGTTCGCAATCCTTTTGTGGTGAGTTTCTATTGTGTATAACTCTTTTAGGTATGCATTGAGTATTTACAACTTCCTGATTTGCACATAATCTGATGATTGAACAGGTCCGATTTTTCTACTCCTTTACATGCAGAGAAAATCTTTACTTGGTCATGGAGTACTTAAATGGTGGAGATCTCTTCTCTTTATTGAGAACCCTAGGCTGCTTGGATGAAGACATGGCCCGTGTATATATTGCAGAACTTGTAAGCGTATACCATTATCCTGCTCATTTAGATATGCGCTTCTCTCTAAATCATGGAAAAGAAACTTCTTACAATGGTACGAATAGTTTGTTTTTTTATTTCTCAGGTTCTTGCTTTGGAGTATTTGCATTCTTTAAATGTCATCCATAGAGACTTGAAGCCAGACAACTTGTTGATTGGTCAAGATGGTCACATCAAGGTCAATATCTTTTACTACCATGTATCATCAGATATTTTGTTAGGCATTATTTCATAAAGATACCTTAGGCCATGATAAAATTACTCCCTCTTCAAAAATCTCCTATCCCTTTTATTACAGTTGACGGATTTTGGGCTCTCAAGAGTTGGCCTTATCAACAGCACAGAGGACTTATCGTCTCTTGGCAGCAATGTATTTCTTGGAGAAGATGAACCAAAAACTCAAAACTCTATGGAGAGAGAACAGCGACGAAAGCATTCAGTTGTTGGCACTCCTGACTATTTAGCCCCTGAAATACTTCTTGGCATGGGACATGGTTAGAGTTGTTTACAAAACAGATAACATATTTATTACAAAAATTGAAAGTTGATATTTTTTTGTTCTTTTGGCTTGATCATTGAAAGTTTATATTTTCCAAAATTTATGTTTTGTTCTTATACAATTTCTGTTGTAGGTGCAACTGCTGATTGGTGGTCTGTGGGTGTCATTCTTTATGAACTACTTGTAGGCATCCCTCCATTCAATGCTGAAACCCCTCAGGTTTGTCTTCTGAATACAACAGTTGCCTAAATTTTAGGTGATTAGGAAAATAGTTTAATATGTTTACTGTTTTATTGCATATTAGTCTTGGTACATCTCTTCATTATTCAAACCATTTCCTATACATCAATATCAAGAACACTGCACCTGTTCCCCTTTGATTTGAAATTTTGTCTGGGTTCTATTACCCCCATTTATCTATTTATGTTAGCATAAATTGATAGATACAAGCCAAGAGAACTGTTAGACATTATTTGGTGAGACGATAACCTGACATTTGATGCAAGGATTGGATATAAGGATTATCATACATTGTGAGGCTGGTAAAAGATTACACTTGGTTTTACGGATCTGTAAAGGAGCACTTTCCAGAACTAACCTGTACTGCTTATAATCGTCTGGCAAGGAAGAAATAGGTTGAATCCACTAAATTATTTCATCATCATACCATGCACAACACTGTGACGGTACCGTTCTAAATTTTTAAAGCCCCGCTTCAGGTATTATATTCCTTTGAGACTATTTCCGTGAAAAGTGAATTCTGGTGCCTTTATTTGCTCTCAGCATGCTTACCCTACAAAGTGATCACAAAGAAATATAATAGGGCAAAAAGAACATGCATCACTTAAATAAAAACTTCTGAAATTAGGAATTGATTTAATTTCAGTAGTATTTAATACTTATGGTAATGCCTTTCATTTTCAGTATTTGATCCTACTTGCTGCAGGATATTTTTGACAATATATTGAATAGAGATATACCTTGGCCCAAGGTACCGGAAGAGATGAGCTATGAAGCACATGATTTGGTAGACAAGTAAGATTCTGAATTTGTTAGATTTGGTAATTGCATGCAGTTTATGCACTCATTCTTAGCAGTATGTTTTATATAACTAGGATTTCTGTTGGATGTTTATGTCAAACAGTAATTGTTGAAATACGGAAGGAAAAATTGATAACTACATATCTTAAAGAAAGAATGGTTTTTAAATGGGTATGTTCAGTAAACACATTCTTTTCACAGTTGCAGTTAAGATTAATGTGGAGTATTACCAAAATAAAAGTCTGCTATTTAGTAGTTTTATATACTCCAAAGCTTTTAATCTTCCTGTTTTGTGTACCTCTTCCTGTCATTCATCCTTTTTCAAATGGACAAGTTATTTCCCAATTTCATTTTTCAATGTAGTTTCTCATTTTTATGTCTCTCTTTGATATTTTCCATGAGTTCAAGTTCTAAGCCAAACTTCAATATCAAACAACAATGTTCTTTCCAGCAGTTCCATTAAGCTACTATCTTGACATGACATTATTATCTAGACCATTTCATTTGTTTTGTACAACTTCCTTGGAACCCACTGAAGACACAATTTCTTTTGACATATATCAGCTTACACTGAATTTCAAGATATTTTATCAAACAAAATAAAATTTCTTCCTGATAAAGCAAAAATGTTTGGGGGTAGCAATATTAAAAGATCATGCATGCATCTGATCAGTAATGGTGCTCAGCACTGTATATGAGTTGTTATTGAGTTATTATGTGAGGCCATCCATACTCGTTAGATTTAGAATTGAGGAAATGGTTGCATTTTACTCAAACTATTTTCTTACTCCTTCAGATTGTTAAGAGAAAATCCAGTTCAAAGACTAGGAGCAACAGGAGCGGGAGAGGTAAATAATAGACAGCTATTGACAGACTCTTTTGTAGGACTTGACAATGTTAATATCTGATTGTACTTTTCTTCACAGGTCAAGAGGCATCCTCTTTTCAAGGACATTAACTGGGATACACTTGCAAGGCAAAAGGTCTTTGTTTGATTTGCCCTTTTTTTTTTTGGCTAGTAATTAATTTATTTTCTGTACTCATTGAGCTTCACGATTGGGTTGTAGGCTGCTTTCATCCCATCAACAGAAGCGCATGATACAAGTTATTTTATGAGCCGCTATATATGGAACCTGGAGGATGAGCATGTTCATGGAGGAAGTGACTTTGATGACTTGACTGACACTTACAGCAGTGATTCGCTCAGCAACATACTGGATGAAGATGTATGCTCAGATCTTTTCATTCTCACAGCTGCCTATTAATATCTATGCACAATGATATATGACTTGATGACACCATGATCTAATCATTTTACAATGGTGCTAAGTGCATCAAATTAATATTTTAGGATACAAGAGCTTTATCCATTAGGCAATGGAAAGATTCTGTTTTCATTTTCTACTAGCATTTAATTTGGAGAAGAAGATTCTAATCTAATACATATAGTAAGAAGTCACACAAATACACATGGAATTAATCTGACACTATCACCCGGTTCTGTTTATATGATTCTTTTGTACTATAAAACAGGGGGACGAGTGTGGTAGTTTGGCAGACTTCAGTGCACCAACCCCTGCCGTGAAGTACTCATTTAGTAATTTCTCATTTAAGGTAAGAACTGCTACTTTAAATATTGTCTAGTCCAAATTGAAATGGAAGATATGGAATTATGGAAATATGTCCTTGCTTTATATTTAAAATGGGCTGATGAATCTTTAGATGTTTAAGTGTTTTTTTTTTTTCCCTTTTTCATTCTTTTAGCAGTTGGATATGCTATTATTTTGTTACGAGATGTTTTCTATATCATCCCAATCTTAGAATTCACTTGAGTTTTGTGATTTCAGAACCTGTCCCAGTTGGCTTCCATCAATTATGATCTGGTAGTCAAGAGCACAAAAGAAGCAGCAGAAGCCTCCAAACCATCCATGCCATGATTGTTCACCTGTTTCCTCATGGCTTAACTTTCACCTTCAATGCAATCACTTTTTTAAATGATTTTTCATGAAGGAAATTTTCTGCCCCTTTAAAGTTCAAGAATGTCCAATGCAGCTTTTGTTGGAAGTACAGCACTTACTCTTCCTGATGACAAATCTGATTGATTTAAGTTAAAAATGGATCACTGCAGCCCCTGACGACTCTACCTATTTCAATGCCATTGGATCTTCCACAAGGAAATGGCAATTCATTGTAGAAGGTTAAGTTTTTTTTCTTTTTCTTTTTCTTTTTCCTTTTCCCTCATATTTTATGTTTCCCCTCACCTCCTTTTCTTTTGTGTACATATTGGTGTTCTCTTTTACTAGATGAAATTATCACAAGCTTATGCTATAGCATCATAGTTTTTTCAAAGCAACGTTGCTCTCTTACTATTTAGCCAGTTAGTCTTTTCCTCTGTATATTTTTCCTAGTTTTGCACCGGACACACTTGTAAGAAAAACAATGGGGGAAGAGTCACCCATAAATTTGAAGCTTACCATAATCAGATGATGTAGACAGCAGTCAGCGGTGATATTAATATCACAGGATCTTCTCGGTTTTTCTAAGCGAGGTATATATGTTCTTTTCCAAGTGTAGCACTTAGTCTGCCTAATCATATATCACCTCTAGGGCAACACTGTGATTCAGCAATCCATTTTCCCTACCCTTTTGTGCACATTCTGAGGACCTTCCCCTCCAATCTGTTCCCTTAGGGATTACTTTCTTGAATATTTTAAGTTTGTGTCGTCTTTGGGAACATATATTAGTTCAGGTCAGTTAGGTAGAAAGCATCTGATTGAGTATCTTAATTCAGTGCTTCAATGTTGTGCATGATAAATTTTTGCCCCACAATCCACAAATGCCTTTCAATGTGGACCATTGAAGAGAAAAAGTTAAGCATACTAATATTTTCTTATCAATTATAAGATCTTAGCTGAGTTGGTCCAAATAAGACTATATGTTCAACCAAAAGAAATGAAAGATTATAGATCTCCAATTAACAATCTTAGATAGTTGAATGTTGATGTCTATCAAATAAATTTCTCTTAAATTTTACATATTGCATTACACAACCAAATAAAATTTTAAACTTGTACATATTGTTAAAAATAAGTCACTCATTACCTATGCCATGTCCTAGTGTCCTTTTCATATGTTTAGATCACCACAAAGATTAATTACCTTTCTTTTTACTGTCCCCTTCCTAGTTAAGGTAAAACTCGATCTCCTGTCTTTGATGCAAGCATCAAACCAAAAGTAATTTACCAAAAAAAATCGAACCAAAAGTAGTGGCTTCAATTACTTGCTTGAGAGAGATATGCCTGGTTTCTGATAATTGAAAGGTGCATACATGTACATTCCTATAACATCAGCTTATCATTTTTTATTTTTATTTTTTCTAATCAGCATCAGCCTATGAAGATGTTAAGAATGAATAGCACTTAAAAAAATTAATAGATTTCAAGTTGAAGAAATAATTTTTTTATTGGCAAATTTGAAGTACTTAGTTTGATGAGAGACTAACCTCATATCCTTTAGTTCTAAGTTTCTCCATAGTTTTGACGTTTATGGTTTGTTTTTAATCGAATTGAAAGATA